CACCCCGCACTAATCCACAGGAGGACCCCGGCCGCCCGCCGGCCCGCCCCTTAAAGCCCCCTCCGGGCCACGCCCCCGGGGGCGGGCGCTGCGTTCTTAAACGGGCGATGGCACTGCCTGGAAACTGGCCCGTCGGGTGACTCGGGTTAAACCGGCGATGCCACGCCAGGAGGCGCTGGAACTAGCGCTAGCAAGCGACTCCGCGGAAAGGGCCGCATCCGAACCCCGCCTTGGCTGTCCGACCCCCCACCAGCCGGGGGGCAGCACGTCTTCAGATAGACCCAGAATTAGTCCTATAGCGAAGGTAGTTTAGGTCTGTCCGAACCCACCATCAGCTGCCTTGAAACCTGGCTGCTAGATGCCTTCGTCATTCGTTCAAGAAATTAATTCATTCTGCAAATATTTACTGTGAGCCCATCAGGTGCCTCTCCACCACCCCACCCCTAATTTTCTTGAGATTGAAATAGACTGAAGTGGGGCCAACAGGTGGTGTGGTGATTAAAGCGTTGTACTCCCACATGGTCAAGTGAGGTTTGAGTCCCAGACCTAATGGCTTGCTTTTTCACTTTCCCTCTTCCTCTTTCTCTGGTGATCACATGTCCAAATTTAATAACAATTTTAATAATGATTAATAAATTTTAATAAGTAATAATTTTTTAAAGGAAATATACTTAAGTCCCTGCTGCTAACCAGCTTGCACTCTATTGGGGGAGAAACAGTAAATGACACTGTCACATCATGGTAAGTGTCATGAAGACAAAGCTGAGAAGGAGAGATGAAAGATAACTAACAAGTGTGGTCAGGGAAGTCCTCTATGACAAGGTGATATTTTATCCAATCCTTGCACAGAAAATGTATCTAAGTGCTTGCTGTGGGCCCTGTGTTCTAGATGCAGGAGTTACCACAGTTAAACAAGACAGACAGAAATCCCTCATGGAGACTGTTAGCAGCAATAAGGAAGATAGATTACTAATAGTAAAATCAAATACTATGTTGACATTGATGAATGCTAAAGAGAATAGTAAAAGCAGGGAATAAGAACAGAGAATGAGGTGAGGGAGTGGCTCTGTGAACACACAAGAGCAAGAGACACACCTGACCTGAAAAGGCGAGAGGAAGAATAGGAGGAGATGACAGAGAGGAAAGGGTTGTAGGTGGATGGCCTCATGGGCCTTGGCCAAGAGCTCTTAGGGAGATGGGAAGCTGCTGGAAGCTGTTACTTGTATAACACACTGGCCAAAATGAAAAGAGACAAAAAATATTTATTGAGCCCTGCTGGGAATTTGGCACTGCCTGCCCCTCCATCACCCGAAAACTTAGTAATTGGGCTTGGAAGGGGTCATGGGTCTCTGCTCCATGCAGTGTTACCTGGGGCACTCCACCGGAACCACAGTTGCCCAGATGCCTTCTCTCACCTGTGTGACATCTCTGCCAGGTGGCTGAGACCAGCAGCTGACTCCTGCCTGGGCCTCTCCCTAGCTGCCTCTAGTTGGTGACTGGGGTGGCAACAGAGTGAAAGCCAAAGCTCCAAGCCCTATTACAGGCCATGCCTAGGGCAGGGGTCGGGGAATGTCACACAGTGTCATTCCTGTTGCCTGTTAATGGATAAGGAAATCACAGGACCAGACCAGTTTCAATTTCAAGAGGAGCAAGAGACTTCACCTGTTTTTATCCTTTAATATTACTAACTCAGAGAAATTCTTCCCCACCCCTTTTTGAAAGCCCAAACTCTTGAGAGAATGGAGGAAAGGGGATTGTGGTGTGGCCATCCCTCCTGGTGGTGGGGGGGTGAGGCTGTGATTTCTCACTTTCCCTCTCTTTTTCTCTCCCTCTCTCTGGGAAGCATCTGTGCCCTATAGCAAAAATTTCTTTAAAGTGTTTTAAAATAACATATGGTCCAGGGACCAGCAGTTAGCGTAATGGCTATGTCGCTGGACTCCCACGTAGTCGACCACGGTTCGAGTCCCGGACCTGGTGGCTTAAACTCACGCCAGGTGCGTGTGCGTGTGTGCCCAAGATCCCGAAAGGAGAATGGAGGAGAAGGGATTGCGGCGTGGCCATCCCCCCCTGGGGGATGATTTCTCACTTTCTATCTCTCTGTCTCTGTCTGGCGAGCGCATGCGCCCTATAGCAAAAATCTCTCCAAAAAAAAAAGAAAAAAAAATAACATATGGTCCATACACCCCTTGAAAAACCTTCATTCTCCCCAGAGGTCTGACTACCTCAGTTTGAAAACTGTGAAGTCTTAAGTGCCATCCCCTCAGGTTGTCTCCCTGAAGTTTACTTGGAGTTTATATATTTGAAATGTTGTGTAATTGGAGGCCCAGATGGTGCCTTCGTGGTGAACTGACTCACGTGGGGAGGTTCTAAGTTCGTGTCTGAAGATCTCCCTTAGTACAGGGAGAGTTCTACATGGGATCCAATATTCCTGAAGACTGAAGTTGCTGGGCTGGAATTTGACTGTGGTCAGCCATGTGGCATCTAGTTCCCATAAGTGCTGTGCTACAGGGCCAGTCCCTCCATAGTAGACCCCCTCATATAGTAGGAAGATCAGTGGTGACCACCCTGCTACTAGCTCACTTAGACAAGGTTTCACATTTCCTGACATCAGATTTCTCACATATTAAATTAGGTGATTAAAAGAGAAGGTTCTGAGATCTTTTCTACCTCTTAAAAACCTATGATTCTATAGGGTCCAATCCCAGTTTGAATTCCAGATGTGGCAGCTCAAAACTCATGCCAGGCACAAGTGCGTGCATGCCCAAAATTCCAAGAGAAGAATGGAGGAGAAGAGATTGTGGTATGGCCATCCCCCCCGGAAGGGTGAGTTCTCACTTTCTGTCTTTCTGTCTTTCTGTCTCTGTCTCTCCAGTGAGTGCACATGCCCTATAGTAAACAAACAAACAAAACAACAAACAAACAAAAACTATGATTCTAGGACCAGCCCCATAGCTAGTAGTTAAGGAAGCCAGATCCCACATGCCTGACCATGGTAATCTTGGGCCTGGCAGCTTGAAAAACACACAGGGTGCATGTGTACATGTGTGCCTTAAACCCCAACAGGATGGAGAAATGGAGAAGGAACTGTGGCATGGCCATCCCCTATGAGGGGATGCTTTCTCTTTCTCTTGCAATTAAAAAAAAAAAAGAAGAAGAAGAAGCAAAAACGAAAACAAAAACCCTATGGTTCTAAACCTATCTCTATATGTAAGATGATTTTATTTAGTTTTATATAAACTCAATATATAAGAAATCTGGGCTTAGATATATATCAAATCAGAGTTAAAAATAACCAAAAATTCAAGTTTCCTTTAAAAAGAGTAATTTCTAGGGCCAGATGGTGGTACAACAACTAACTCTGCAAGGCTGACCTACTTGAGAAGGTTCTGGGTTTACATCTGGAGACCTTCCTTGAGTATACTGGGCACCATGCAAGTCTGTGATCTGTGGTTGTTGGACGCTAAAGGACGTTGAGATCCTGTTGGGGGTGATGTCTCTCTCCCCCTTTTCCTCTTTCTTTTTGTCTCACTCATAGAAGAAAGAAAAGTAAGTATGCTTTAAAAAATAAATACATAAAAATATGGGGCTGGCAGGTGACATGGTAGTTAAGGGCGCTGGACTCTCACATGGCCGACTGCTATTTGAGTCCTGGACCTGGTGGCTTGCTTTCTTGCTTTTCTCTCTCTCTCTCTCTCCTCCTTTCACTTTGTCCCTTCTCTGTTCAAATTAAAATAAATAAATTTTTAAAAGTCAAATGAAATTTCTTTAAATAAAGAGAATTTTCTTATCACATTTTGAATGCTCATTTTCTAAAATTTAATTCAGAAATATAATGTATGGGTTAAAACAGTATTGTTTCCTTTTTTTTTTTTTGTGGAGAAGTTTTTGCTATAGGGCGTGTGCACTCACCAGAAAGACGGAGAGACAGACAGAAAGCAAGAAATCAAGTAGAATTGTGGCTTCCAGGAACTGGAGAAGGAAAAATGGGGAGTTGTTTAACATATATATATATATATATATATGTATATATATCTTATTTATTTATTTTTAATTTGACCAGAGAGGGATAGAGTGAAAGTGAGAAAGCAAGCTGCCATGTCTGGGACTCGAACCGTGGTCAGCCATGTGGGAATCCAGTGCCCTTAACTACCATGCCACCTGCTGGCCCCCTCTACAATATTTTCTTAAAGTTTATTATTTGTCATAATATTTATTTTTTCCATGTGTATGAGAGAAAGGGCACCTTCAAGAGTTTTGCCACACTGGAATTCCCTTTCCTCCAGCCCTCCAGCTTGTCAGGATTTGGGACCTGTGTGCCTGGTGTGTTTCAGGCTGACTCAGAATCCTAACTCATGGTTGGCCATGTGGCTTCCTGCCCAGTAGAGTAGAACACTACTGCCTGTGCCACTGCAGCTGGACTTCTCTCTATGATTTTTTTTTTTTTTGAGAGGTTTTTCACTATAGGGCGCGTGCGCTCGCCAGACAGACAGAGAGAGACATAGAGACAGAAAGCGAGAAATCACCCCCCAGGGGGGATGGTCACGCCGCAATCCCTTCTCCTCCATTCTCCTCTCGGGATCTTGGGCACGCACGCACACGCGCCCGGCGTGAGATTTAAGCCACCGGGTCCGAGACGCGAACCGCGGTCGACTACGTGGGAGTCCAGCGACATAGCCATTACGCTAACTGCTGGTTCCCGTGTGATTTTGACTACTCTAAGTACCTTATGTAAGTAAACTCATATGGTATTTGTCTCTTTGTATCTGACTTATTTCACTTAGCAT